CTATCCAAAGCATCTGGCACTGGCTTCTGACTGACGACAGGATACTGGGCTAGACAGAGCATTGGTCTGACCCAGTACGGCCATTCTTGTGTTCTTATGCAATTACTGTAGTAAAATAGTCATAGCAAATATTCACCACTGACTGAAAGAAAACTTCAAGCCACTATAATGAACCCCCCCCCCGCATAATTGATGCTCGTTTAACTGGGTTCAACTCCACTATAGTCATAGGGTTATACCCAGTTAAGCCAGAGACAAATTTAGCTCATAAACGACATAAAGAGAATATACAGACTCAGATTCTCTGTAGTGTCTAGCTTCTGGCAGGAACAGCAGATATGGGGGCCTTCAGGGAGCCTGCTAATGCTCCCTGATTCTCTGGCTATTTCTATCATGGTAATATCCCAAAGAACCATCCACCAGCTGGGTACAGCAGGAGCACAGCACATTCTTCTCATGCCACCTTTCTGCCCCTTGTTTGGTTTGTGGGGAAGGGGCAGGTAAGGAGCCTGCTACTCGAGCTCTGTAATTATTGGATTCTCTCCCATGCTGGCAGAGGGAATATGGACAGTTTCCACAGTTCAAGCTGTGTAAAGGGAGCAGTGTGGCCAGAGAACTTGGCCCATGGTACTGATATATTGGCCTAGATCTGAACCAAAAACTCTGGATCTGACCAACTAAATAAGTTAGGTGGGGAGAGTGTGACAAAGGTTGGAGTCTGAACTTTAATCAGTCTCTAAGTTTCACAGCAGGCCTCTAGCTCACTTATAAGCCAAAGAAAACCCAGCATCTGAACATCCCAAACTGTGAAGGAGAGGAGAAGGGGTTTGAAATACAGCTAGACAGATACATTGAATATGTGCAAAATTTGGAATTTTTGCACCCATGTGGTCAGTCATGCATATAACGGGCTGTGTGTAAGTGACCACATCCAATTTGTGTGTACTTACCATTTGGTTATGTTAGTATATGCTCTCAATTACATATACCTAACTTTGAAAACCAGCCACTTTTCGCTGTAAGCAGAATTATTATTAAGAAACGCATTTAGTATTTTATCCTGGTTTGTCTTGTTCTATTTATGCAATATGGACGAGTTAACTCTGCTGTGAAAACCTGGGACCAAATTTGTCCCTGATATTACTATACAGATGTAAACTGAGTTACCACAGGAATGATTTGTCTTATTAACTTTAGTTTAGGCTGTGGGTTCCTGAAGGCTGTAGAAATGTCACGGCTAATGTTAGAAAAATAATAGGCTGATTTATTTGTGCTGATATCCTTAGAAATGTAACCCAATCATTAGGACTAAAGTTTGTCATTGATTTTTTTCCTAAAGACCTTTGGTTACAAACAGACCCTCATATAGCAGCTCAGGGCTGCCTTTTGGGCTCCATGAACCCATGGCTACAGAGTCCTTGCTTATTGGAGCCCAAATCAATCACAGCTGTGGGAGGCAGCATTAAATACCATTGCTATTGCAAGCTCCCTTCTAGCTTAGTGCCTGCAACCAATGAGATAGCTGATCAAAAGAAGGGCAGCTAGATGGCTTACTCCAGTGGATAAGGGATAGGACTGAGAGCAAGGGATCCTAATGTTGCAGCTCTGACACTTGTTCAGCTCACTTAATCTTACCTTTTCCACGTGTGTATTACAAAAGTTATTACAGAATCATAGTTTGGCATAAGATGAAAAAAGCACATGAAATAATTGCAAGGAAAACAGTTTGGTATTTTAAAACTCAACACTTTAGTGTCTGAAGGCCTAATTGAGACCACTGATCTCTCAGTTTTTGTAGAAATATTCAGCTTGCCCCCACCAATTTTAATCGCTGTTTGCAATGGCAATAGTTCGACACTTGAAAACCTTGCCCTTCAATGAGACTGTGATATTGTGTATACTAGGGTTACCATATTTGAACATTCAAAAAAGAGGACATGGGGGGGGGATTTGCTCAAGCACCCCACTCCCACCCCAACTCCACCCCTTCCCCTCCCCCATTCCAACCCCTTCCCCAAAGTCCCCGCCCCAACTCTGCCCCTGAGCGCACCATGTTCCCCCTCCTCCCCCCTCCCTCCCAGCTACGTGAAACAGCTGTTTTGTGGCACAAGCGCTGGGAGCTAGAGGGAAAAAGCAGGCACTCTCTCAAGTGACCAACACATACTTTCTTGAATGATCAACATTCACGCTCTTTCTTGAATGATCAACTCTTGTTTGGGGAAAAATAATAATGGCAAAATCCCGGACGTTTTTAGATATTTAAAAATTTCTCCCGGACGTTTGATTTAAGAACCAAAAAGCCAGACACGTTCGGGAAAATTCGGACGTATGGTAACCCTGTGTGTGCCCTTTCAAAAGTGGCTGTGTTTTATGAGCATGTGTGAGGTGAGAACTGTGGCAAAGGACTCTCTTGATGGTGTGCCAGCCAAAACATATTCCAGACCAATCTTGGATTAAACTGAGATGTACTGTAACAATGTGTTTCAATGAATGGCAAGAATAAGGGCATGAGTGGATTATTTTTCAGTGTATGAACTATGGTGAGTGCCATCCTGTTTGTTTTACAGAACTCCACCTGCTTTGGATAAAGCACCACAGGTGGTTACAGACTGAAACTGGAAACTAAGCACAGCAGCGCTTTTGTATTCTTTCTAAACAGTTTGCTAATATTTCTTTTAAAACAATTATTATAATTAGCTAGAATGCTATAACTGAGTTTCCGAGGGAACCATACAAACGTATTTTCAACGTTTATTATTAATAGGGAATATTCTTGTAAAACTCCATTCAATACATTCAGAATTCTACACATCACAAGAGACATGCCTCCTCTATATCATCACTAAATATATTGCGTTAATTCAGAATAAATTAAATATTTTGGGCCTCAGGTTTTTTTTAATTCCTTAACTCTGCTCCCATTTTTTTTAAACACTAGTGAACTGCTGCTGTGCAAGTGTACTATCTGACACCTAGCTACCTGCTCCATCTAGCAAAAGTGTTGAGAGATGACCAAGTTTCCACTTGACAAATGTTTATGAAAGGTACTTGCGCCAGCTGCTGACGTTGCCTTCGCTCTACTAGAATGTGCCAATACCTTAGCTGGTGGGGTTATATTAGCCAACTGGTAGTATAAATGAATGCACAAAGGATAAAATCCTTTCAGTAGACACTGATCTGTCCTTAGGTCTGTCCAAAATTGCAATAAACAACTGAGAAGAAGACCTAATAGACTTAATATGCTCCAGATAGAAAGCTAGAGCCCTTCTCACATAATCAAATGCATTCTCTCCTCATCTCTATGAGCGTGAGGTTTCAGAAAGAAAATTGGCATGTAGATTGCCTGGTTAACATGAAACTTAGAGACTACTTTAAAGAAATTTTGGGTGAGGGAGAAGATGAACCTTATGCCTATGGAAAACTGTACAGGGAAGGTTTGATACTAGGGCTTTTAACTCTCCCATCCTTCTGGCAAGGTAACGACCACTAGAATTGCTACCTTAATAAAGAAGTGTAGCAGAGAGCAAGTTGCAAGGAGTTCAAAGGGTGGTCCCATCAATTTTGCTAGGACCAAGATCAGACTCCAAGGAGGGATAGGATCTTGCACATGTGCATACAATGCTGACAAAACCTTCAGGAGTCTGGTGACAATGGGGGTTGGAGAAAAGTGATCTACTATCTACTGAGATGTGGAAGGCTGACATAGCTGCCAAAGGCACTCTTATAGAGCTAATAGCCAAACTTTGTTTTAAGTATAGAAGATAATCCAGTATGAGACCCAGGAGTGCCCACTTTGGAGATACACCTTTCTGATGGGACCCAATGGAGAAGCGCTTCAACTTAACCAGGTAAGTGCTCCTACTGGAAGGTTTTCAGCTATTCAGAAGCACTTTCTGAATGTCCTTTAAACAGGATCTCTCAAATGGTGTTAACCATGAAGCAGCCATGCTCTCAGATGGAGGGCTGTGAGGTTGGGATGGAGCAGGCAACTGTGGTCCTGGGAAATGATGTCTGGATCCAACAGGAGAGACAGTGGAGGCTCATAGGGTCGAGTACCAGTGCTGATAAGGCCATGCTGGTGCTATAAGGATGAGGCAAGCATGATCTTCTTTGACTCTGAATAAGAACTTGGGTTGCAAAGAAATTGTAGGGAAGGTATACAGGAGGGATTTCTTCCAGGATAGGGGGAAAGCATCCATCAGCGACCTGGGCTGAGACCTTCCCAAGAACAGACCTGATGGCATTTTCTCACCAACTTATGAGAGCTTTCATGCATTTCCTCTGCCTGAATATCAAGCACAGAGGCCACCCTTCTCAAAAGATCTTGATGAGCTCAGTGGTCCTCTGGCAGTGGAGAATCACTTGGCAGCTCAGTAGCTTCATCTGGTGATGAAGGAGAGGAAGCCACAGGCTTTTGAGGTGGCTGATCTATGTCTTGCTGCAGGGAAGCTGCCTGAGTGACTTCTGGCTGGTTGGTACTGACCGCACTACTGAGAACCAGAGAATGATACCCTCTATGCTGATGCCACCAGCCTGCTCCCAAAGATAGTAAACAAGAGGGTTGGGGGGAAGGATACCCCAGGCGTCCAGAATGGCCACTGACATGGACCGGGGAAATATTTGGGAAATATAATCATCCTATTTTTAATTTAATTTTTATACGGACTCTCCCCGACTTACGCAATCGTTCCATTCCGGAACGCCTCGCATAACTCGAATTTTTGCGTAAGTCAGAAACATATACCCGTCCACTACGCAAAAAAACCCCCAAACCAACCCTCTTATTTCTAGCTTACAGAACTTTTTCCATAAGTGCAAATTTGCGTAAGTCAGGTCTTGAGTAACCGGGGAGCATCTGTACTTTCTTACTTATAGAGACATTAGGCAAACGTGGTCTCGTTAACCTATTTCTGCTAGACCTTGTGCGGTATGTCACCACATCATTCCAAGAAATACATTCCATTAGGGTGTATACAGTTCTGGAATCATTTGTTGCTCACCTGTCCTGGTTGCTCACAAGCTGTCTGGTATCTCGCTTGCTGGCATAATTCTTTTACTCTCTCATATTTTGGTAAATGGTTAGACTGTTGGGCATTTTTGTTGGGTTCCTCCTTCTTGCGCAGAAATTTGCTTTCAAAAGGGAAAAAGAGTTAAAAATTTTATAGGCAATGCACTCAAACATTGAAGGGGATACATTTAATTAAAAAAGCAATGATATTCAAGATTTAGCATCTGGTGGCCATCTTCTACAAGAGTGGTTTTTAAACCGTGGGTCGCGACCCCATTTTAATCAGGTTGCCAGGGCTTGTGTCAGACTTCAGCCCCGGGTGGTGGGGCTCAGGTTACAGGGGCTTTAGCCCCCCTACCCAGGGCGCAGGGCTTGGGCAGGCTTAGGCTTCGGTCCCCCCTCCTGGGGTCGTGTGGTAATTTTTATTGTCAGAAGGGCGTTGCGGTGCAATGAAGTTTGAGAACCCTGTTCTAAGTTAAAAACATTCATGTGCTTGTCAGATATAGAAACAGGAGCTTTTGCAGTAAAGGAATGGCCCAACTGACATACTGGAAACCTACACCAGCAGTCATTGCTTCTCTCTAGGAATTATTAGTGTAGTCATACCCACAAGTTTATTTTCACAGACTGTCATGTCATAAGTGCCATAAAAGGAATTATTGTAATACTTTTACTCAGAGAATTTTCACAGTAATATAGGGCAAGGCAAGGCAAATAATAAATTATGTGAGAAAATGTTGAAAAGCTATATTTATGAATCTCATTTACATATTGACCTTTCCTTTACTTCAATCAAATGGAGAAGGATTCCTAACTGAGGTGAAAACTATAAAATTAACTTATAGAAGAATGTTGCACCATCACATCAACAGCAGGACTTGGAGAAGAGTGATGGAATGGGAAGGAAAAATCAGCCCGGTGACCAAGTGAACAGCTGTGGGTCTGAGGTTAAAGAACAAATCTAGGCAAATGGAAGGGATGGGCCAGTAAAGTTGCTGTGGAAAGCACCCACTCAAATCTCTTATGAAACAGCCTAAGAAGAAGAGCCGCCAGTTGCACAGCTTGCACTGGGAACAAAGAAACCCTGTCAGTGTACTTGCAGACTTTACAGCCTAGCTGACCACTAAAAAGCACAAGCAAGCTTGCCACTAGGCAAGTTTCCCAAAACTTTCTCAGCTTTAATAATTACCCTCTTTCCACCAGAAACGTATCACGCCAAATTTTGGTCTTCTTGTTTGTTCGAAACCTGAAAGCAAAATATTATTATTTACTGCTGGCATCTGTGACTGTTTTTGAATAGCAGCATTAGTGTTAACAATTTATTTGTTTTTAAATGACCTCTTGGCTCATGTATATGTACAATTTTATAAATGTGCTATTTAAAACAGTTTTGAAATGTGAAAGCTGTGGTCATTGGGCTTGACACTGCTTATTTTGCCACAATTTCTTTTCCATTCAGCTGTTGATTTACTCAGGTGTTTGCTGCTGAATAGGCTTTGAGAAATGGCAATGACCCACCTGTTTCCTGGCTTTTCGAGGTCCAGAAGTTTTAGGACAGACTTGCCATCCATATCTGGAGGCGCGTCAAGTCCTGCAATATCCAGAACAGTTGGAGCAAGGTCAATATTCAGCACTATCTGAGGCACTCTGCAAATTAATAGAAAAGGTCAGAATTGAATCATGTGTAAGATATGTAACCCTTCACGTTCTTTCAGAATTAGAATAGCAATAAATGTGTATGAGTTCTTTGAAGATGAAAAGCTCTATATAAGTGCTAAGTGCAGAAGTTCCCCCTAGAGGGCTGTGACTTTGAGGATGACAGACCAATATCATTCGATACTGTCATAAAGGGCATCTGAGCAAGGTTCAGTTACATAAGGAGTTGAAACAGGCACGTTATTCCTCCCATCTTACTCATAATAAATCCATTCTGCTAAGCCAGAAGAGGAGCAATAGATGTCCTCATTTGAACCTAACTTCTTTTTAAAAATAAAGGACAAAGCCTAACTATCCAGGGCTCTAAATAATACAATTTTCTATTACACATTTTAACCAATTTATCACACACAAAAAGACAGACATGCTTTTGTTCTTCTAAGGCAGTGTCCTGCATTAACAGAGTATTCTTTATGAAAGGAAACCGAACACTTAGAGTGACCATCAGATGTGCTTAGAAACATTTCAAATGAGATACAGCAGCTGTGCTGCAGACATAGGAGAACGTACACTGATCCCGGCTCTACACTTGGCCCACGAATAAAGAAAGGAACTCGAATATCAAAGTCATATGGCATTGACTTTCCCTTGACAAGTCCAAACTGCCCAATATGGTAACCATGGTCAGCAGTGTAAATGATGTAGGTATTCTCCAGTTCTCCTGTCTCCACAAGCATATGGTATAACTGAAATATAGCATAGGAAAAGCTCAAAATCAAATATTGCAAAACATTTTTTACATAATCATAGTTTTTCTCATTTAAACCTGTTGGGCCAAATGTAACAAACTATTGGGGAAACTATTGAAACTAACAGTTATGCCAAGGATGAATTTGGCACATCATGTCCTTACCATGGTGTAGAAAACTGAATAAAATGTTGTTTTACTACTCACCCACTAGGTCTACATCTTGACATACGAGAGTTTGCTTCAGGGGGGATTTCAGAAAGTTTACTTTGGCAATTTATGGTGCTATTTGACTTGTGTCACCACTACCCACAAATCTCTATATAATCATTGTAATACACTGCTTGGCAAGTTACTATCTCTACAACAGATGCATTCTTGGACTTGCTCAAATGTGTTATTAGTTTGTAAGCATCTCCTCCCCTTCAGTTAGGGGCTTGGAAAGAGGCTGTACATTTTATTGCTACTAAATGTTAAGGGAGCCCCTCCTTTAGCACCAGTGGAAAGGCCTTTGGTCACGGAGAGGGGTTTTGGAACAAAAGGTCAACAATTCTATTCCTAACACCTCATGTGTCATATTATATGTAGTTAGCTGTCCCATACATTATCTATATGCTCACAAACACTAACAGTCTGACACCTGATTTTTGGTCTGTACTTCAGTGAACCCAGATGCCCAGAACTTAGTTGAAGGATGAACTGTGGAGGGAATAGGGTGGAGCAGAGGTAACGTACGAGTGCATGTGTGTGTACATACGTGCCATAGCCCTCTACAGATGAGGAACTTGATTATTTCTTTTTATATTTGCTCTATTGGCTGAGAGTGTGAAACCGATCCTTTAGCTTACTGGACACACGTTAATTTTTCCCCTTTAAAAAGACACCTATTCTACTGCCAGTTAAAAAAGTGGACAACAAAACAGCTGTGTAGCATTACCAGTCAGAGAATTTGTAGTAACTCGTATTTTCACAGGTAGATTTGGGTTCCCTATCACTGGGGTTGCCAGGCATCTGGTTTTTGATGGGAATGCCCGGTAGAAAAGGGACCCTGGCGGCTCCGTTGGGACTGCCAACTGGGCCGTTAAAAGTCCGGTCTGCAGTGCAGCAGGATCTTGGGGCTAAGGCAGGCTCCCTACCTGCCCTGGTTCCGCGCTGCCTCTGGAAGCAGCCGCCAGGTCCCTGCGGCCCCTAGGCACTGGGGCGGCCAGGGACTAGGAGGCTTCATGTGCTGCCTTGCCCCCAGCGCCGGCTCTGCAGCTCCCATTAGCCAGGAACCACGACCATGTGCCTAGAGGCCGCAGGGACCTGGCGGCCGCTTCCTCAGAGTTGCAGTAAGCGCCGATGGGACCCCGGACCCCAACCACCTGCCCCAGTCTGGAACCTCTCCCACACCCCAAACTCCTCATCCCTGGCTCCACCCCAGAGCCCTCACCTCCCTGTACTCCAACCCCCTGGCCAAATCCGGAGCCCCCTCCTGCACCCCAAACCCCTGATCCCCAGCCTCACCCCAGAGCCCACACCCCCTCCTGCACTCCAAACCCCTCATCCCAGCCCAAGCCTAGAGCCTTCACCCCACCCCAGAGGTCGGGCAGGGCAGGGGTCTTCAGTTTTGTGTGATTAGAAAATTGGCAACCCTACCTATCACTTTAGGAATATAAACATGATTTTCTTCTCACTTACATGGGGTAAATCACAAGTGAGTCAACTGAAGTTTAATGGAATTCACCAGCATAAGGTGAGTAGAAATGAGAGAAGAATCAGACCTGGTATACAAGTTACAAAACTGTGTAATAAAACAATTGATCCTTGACATTTTCAGTTGCTCACCCTCTCCATGGAGTCATCAACTGACATCAATGTCTGAAGCCTTTTGCGCTGTAAGACATTTGTAAATTCCATGTGGATAGGCAGCATAGGCCCAGTGTACTGCATGATCCAATGTTTATCCATGTTTGGTGCGTAGTTATAGCTTGGAGTTCTGCAAAAAGAAAGGAGGGAATTTGCAGAATTTCACACAATAACACAGAAATTACAGGAAAAAAGGAATTGATCAGTGATCCATCTAATCCATACCCCGTTTCTGATAGAGTAAGTAACAATCCTTTAGAGCATGGTGAAAGGAAGGCTGTAGTGGACAGTTATAAAATAACCTGCCTTTAGGTGGACATTTCTTCCTAATACCCACCAGTTAGTGTTTGTTTTATGCCCTGAAGCTAACCCTTTAAATCTATATAAATATATACACACATACACACACGTGTATGTGTGCATATGTGTGTCTGTGCATTTCTCATTTATAACAATCACAGGTAAAATCCACTAAGTAATTTAGGAGCTTAATCATATTTTCAAAAGTGGGTTAGGAACCTAAGTCCCACTGACTTTCAATGAGAAGTAGGCTCCTAAGTCACTTCTGAAAATGAGTTACATTTGAAAATGTTATCCCACTTCTCTAATTTGATCTCATTTTACTTCTTATGAGTCATTTGTTCATAAAACACACTCAGAGCTGGGCTTAATTCAGCAGGGTCACACGTTCTTTTCTGCAGTGGGCCAAGACTAGTTTTGCCATATTTGTAGCTCGAAGAGGAGGATTAGCAAAGCTGTGTGAGGTGCCTTGCACAGCGCCAAATTCTAACATGTACCTGGAGTTATCTCTTACTTCCATGACCTCTAAAAGTCTAACTCATCTTTAAAAAGGCTCATGTCACAATGACAAAAATCCCATGTAATCAGGCACCTTCACATTGCACGAGCCAAAAGGTCAAGTCAGCAAACTAAAGGATGAAATTCAGAGGTCAAAGAGGATTATTCTTCCAGTATTATTAAGGGAGGTTGCAAGTGTACCTCACAAGAAGAATTTATCCCTAAATTAATCAACTTACAATTAAGCTCACAACAAAGACATTTTCCCAGTGGGACAGGGACACATTAGCTTTTCTTGCTTCATTAGAATAGCAGCAACTGTGTCATCAGTGTTTAGTTTTTGATGTCCCCCAAAGAACTGAAGTACTGATTTGTTTCATCATCTCACCACCATCGTCAAATAAAGGCAAGCTCAGGAAAAGCGCACATGTTTTGAGTTCTATCCTAACCAGTATGGTAGATACATTTGCAATTATTACCTATAATGAAAAAATATATTTGTTTATGTATGGGCTAAATCCTGCAGGAATATAATCTTTGTGTTTGTCTCTAAAGTATCATGAACACCTATAGCAATATATAGGTGAGCTATAGCATCAATACCATAAGAATCATAAGAAGATCTTAGCATGGAATCTACATAATTATCTTGGTCAAATCCCACACTACTGAATCAAAAAAGCATGACTTCTCAGAGTTCCTACAAATGTCCAGAAACAGACAGAAACTCTTTGGTGGGTGATGGCATGTAAATTTAAAAGTGTAAGAGGGAAATCACAGAAACACAAATATTCCATCTGAAATAAATCACGGTTAAGGAATGTATGGAAAAAATTAAACATGCAATATCCAGTGTGTCAGAGCAGCTCATTAGTCCCATTAGCCCTATTTTATATACAACAAACTCATCTGCCTCTTAAAAATTAAAAACAGAAACAAAACAAAATCCATGTACTGTAATTCTACCAACTTGTTGATCACTGCTCCTGATGAGTTCAGTCCCCTTCCCTATGTGATGCAGTCATTTGCAAGACTGGGGCCTTAATTTATATTTTTAAATATTTACCCTTTCTTTTTCTTTTCCTTTCACTTTTCTTTATTATTACATTTTATTATGTTACATATATCATTATGTAATCTTGAATCAATCCATCATTAAATTGAAAAAATGCAGGTAATGTGAAACCAAATTAATTTTATATCTGTTACACATACTGAATAAATATGGGCATATTTTTACTAGTTTAAATATATGATGAAAATAACTATTACATGTTTAATATATCTAATTTGGCAGTTTTTTTAAACCATACATTACACATACAGCACACATGTAAAACATCAGAAACATGTGGATTTTTCTTCCCTCTCCTTCCATATCTCTAGCAATCTGTAGAAAACAACTATTTCTGGCACCACGCCAACTCTTTAGCTAGAGATTAAATAAACGAACCACACCCCCTTCCATCAATTCTGACAGTTTTAGGGAGAAATGACACTGCGACTAAGTTTTTTAAAGAGAGAGAAATACAAATAACTCTCTCTGTACTGCAGAAATATATCTTGCAGAAAGAGATACATACATTAGCAGGTTTCAGAGTAGCAGCCGTGTTAGTCTGTATCCGCAAAAAAAAAGGAGTACTTGTGGCACCTTAGAGATTAACAAATTGATTTGAGCATAAGCTTTCGTGAGCTACAGCTCACTTCATTAGCAGGCATTTTTCACACACTAAAGAAAGCATGATTTTCGTGTCTGTTCATGTCAAGTATAATAAAATCTATACATATATATTAAAAATCATACTAGAATGACAGCCCTGGTGAAGAAAGTCGTCCCAGTGTATATATAGTTTGAAGAAATGAGCAATTTCCCACACTGCCCAACCAGTGTTCCAGAGCAATTTTGATCTGGAGTGGTCAGAATATAGTTCAGTCTCCATGACTTGTTTCTTAGCTTCTCTATGGAATGGATACCGATTTGAAACACTGCGTGGTCTAGATCAGGGATCGGCAACCTTTGGCACGTGGCCTGCCAGGGTAAGCCCCCTGGTAGGCCAGGCCGGTTTGTTTACCTGCCGCATCCGCAGGTTCGGCTGATCACGGCTCCCACTGGCTGTGGTTTGCCGCTCCAGACCATTGGGGGCTGCGGGAAGGGTGGCCAGCACGTCCTTTTTATTCATTTTTCTTGTTTTTTTTTTAAAAAACATGTCAAATACACCCATCACCCTGTCCCTGGACACACATATAGAAGTTAAAATGATTTATTGTTTGTTGATCAGCTATGTATTAGTCCAGAAAAGAGTGACCTTGAGATGAGCAACTGCCCAATGTCCCACTCTGGGCCAGTACCAAAAGGAAAGCACAGAGTCACTCAAGCATAGCCTTGCCAAGTCCAACAGGCAAGCAAAACCTCAGTGGTGTCAAAGATTGTGACAAATCTAAAACAATTAAGATACCCAACTATTGCCCATTGATCACCAACCAACATATTTCAGGTCAGTCTCCAGGCCATAAGCAGGTCGAATGCAAGACTCAAAGGAATCAAAGAAATCAGTGGATTTTAGACACCTGAATTGCTTCACATTAATACTCTCAATAACCTTATCCAAAAAGGGAAGATTAGAAACATGGCAACTGATGGCAAGACAATGACATTCAAGAAGTTTAGAATTAGATCTCAGTTCAACACTGAGGGCTGTAATCAGCGATGGCCAATAAAATGGAGGGGATAATAAACTGATTTTAATTGGTTAATTTTAGTAAGTACTCACAAATATTCCACCCATGATGTAAAGTGGTGGAGTGCCCTGAGTGCGAACCTAGAGCTACTTATGAGTAGTCTGGCACAGGAAGTAATATAGTTATAGCCTATTTCACTTTGCACATGAAACTTTAGTGGATGGTGGGAATTCTAAGTTTTTCCTTGTCTCTTCATTATATATGTTTCCTCTCCTTTTAAAATCTCTGTTTTGTGTTTCTCCATCAGGCATCAGTATTGCATATTTCAAAGAATGCCAATTCTAGTGCTGCTCCACAAATTGTCTAGAAGACAAATTCACCTCATTTTGTAACCACCTCCTGTTTCACCCAGAGATTAAAAATACATTTTGAAAGTGTTTATGAAAGGTTTTAACTGTACCACTAATCCCTGGAGCACGGCTGTTAAAGAGTATCCATTATAAGCAGGATGCTTCTGACAATGGATCTGGGAACAGGAGACTTAAGGCCTACCTCAGCCGCCCGCTCACCCTCTTGGCCGCACAACTGGTGGTCATTGCATGGCTGACTTAACTGTAGCTTGGAGTCATCTTATCACTCAGCAACGAGCAAACATATTCTTTATGTAATTATGTATTACAATGGAAAAATTCACATATACTAGCACAGCGCTGCAGACTTACTATCTCTGCTATTTAATAAACCCTATTAGATACGGCAATCAAAACCTGCTGTTTACTCTCTACTTCATACCCATATGTAACTGGGGTAGGAGTACTGCATGCGTGGACTGAAGAGACAATGGACAGACACTCTGTAAACATACCTGAATTGTCATAAATGGCCTCCAATTAAAATATGGGAGCAATTAGTTTATTATATTAGTTCATTATTACATCCATTTAAATGCTTAACTGACCCTCAAATCACATCACTGGAGGTCCAAAGGGTAACATATAAGGGACAACTGCACCCAAAAGTTTGAGCCTACATTTAATTGTGGAAGCAAAATTGTGCTTGCAATATTGACGGCCAATTTAATACACAGCGCCTTAAAATGTATTGCTTAGCAAAATTCTCTGAGCACGTGGATAACAAACCTTCACATTACTTTACTTAAGATTAACCATTGGAAAAACAATGAGGAAAAGCAGACATCTATTTTTAAACAACAAATGTTGCCCCACGTCAGGAAAAATGGTAACCCATCATAAAGGGCAACAAGAATTCACTATTTAAGGCCCTGATCTTACAAATGCTTAATCACATGAGTAAGTATACACATGAGTAGTCCTGTTGAATGCGCACATTTCCGAAGTCCTTAAATTAGTGCCATTAGCATGGAGGCCTCCAACTGCATAGCCTATTTAGATTGCAATCTCCTCATGAAAGGCACACAACTTCTTTTATGATTTGTGCACTGCTGGCATTTTAATATATTAAAATACATCTTGGTATAAATATATATTGCTTTACAGTAGCTGCAATCAATATGGAAACTGCACATATAGTACACATACTGTGAGTTAAAGGTTAAACATCCATTTGGCTGTAGTTTGGGGTGGGAGGGGAAAAGAGAGTTAATAAAACAGTCTATTTACAGCATTGATACAT